CTGTCTAGTTGTTCTATTGAAGTTGGGATATTGAAATCTTCATCTATGATTGTTGAATGGTCTATTTCTGTCATTTCTCTCAGTTTTTGCCTCATGTATTTTGTTACTCTGTTGTTAGTTGCAGATATTTATATTTATTATATCTTCCTGATGGATTAACCCTCTTCTTATTATAAAATGTCCCTCTTTATCTCTAGTGACATTTCTTGTTTTAGAGTCTATTTTATCTAATATTAGTATAGCTACTTCAGTTTTCTTATGGTTGGTCCAAAGCTCTGCTTTGAATTTTCATAGACTTTGATGGGCACTGTAAATGAGTGAAGAAATTACCCCTTTTCCTTTTTACCCCCCTTCATCTTTCAAATGAAATATTTTACCAATCAACCAACTCTCCTTGAGCACTAAGTATGGTCCCCAACACGAAAACCTGTGTGACGTGAAAACTCTTGGGTCTAGATTAGAACCCTTTCATGGGATTGGTTCATCCTCTTCACTTCATCCTCAATAAATTAAAATCACATCCTCCTCTAAAATAACGAGGCATCATCATCACCAGAACTTAGAGGTAAGAAACTGAAATTGAAAAGGAAATCAGGAAAAATTTTATTAAAATCAGAGGACTACGAAGGTTTTAGGAAAAAGATGTTTACTCTTGAACTCCTCTTCAAGTCAGAAAAGCTTCCCTGAATTCTTTGGGTCATTCACTTGCCCTGAACGCAGCGGAAGAACCCCCAAGTGATGCTGGTGGGAAATGGCATGGAATGAGGATGGCATGCTGGGACCCCTGTGTCTGTGGGGCTTACTGTGCCAGAGGGAGTACAGATTTCAAAAGGAAAAAACACATTTAAAAAAACAGATGTAATACCACTCAGAGCACAGAGAGTAAAATGATTTGCCTGAGGTTTCACAACCAGTGATGTCCCTGTTTGATCTTTCCCTGAGTCTGAGCCCACTTGTTGTCCTAGAGGAGGATAGCCCCGATCCTGCCATTAGAGGAGAGCACCTCACATTCTGGGCCAGTTTCCTGTCACTGCTCTGAGCTCTAGGAGTTCAGAGAGGGGAGGGGGGCGTGACCTCTGCCTAGCTGGGTGTTGGCACGAGGCCCTGGTGACAGTGTGTCTGCGCTGTGAGTGTGCCGACAATCTTTGGAGCAGCTCTTCCTCGCTCAACAACCAGCCAATTTGGTCTCAGGAAACTACTCTGCAGTGCTGGCTGGGTTCAGAAGTCATTTTTAATTTTGTGACAAAGACAAATGTGTCCTAGGGGAGTAGTAAGTGGTTTTACTGGTGATATTAATGGAACCGTGACCTCTTCTGTATCTATGGTCCTACAAAACAAAAAATGTTTGTATTATAATATGTCAGGCAAGTTCATTCTAGCCCTTCCTTGAAGCAAATTGTAGAGGAAGTATACTATTAATAAGCCCAGAGCATTGTGTGTGTGTGTGTGTGTGTGTGTGTATCCACAGTCCTAACCTCATTTGCAAACACAGTGGATTTTAACCAACTGCTGACTTGATACAAATGATGTACCTTGAATTGTGTTGGGATGGACACAATTCACTGAAGTTCCGAACAGAAGTGCAGTGGGCCCAGGGCTGATACTGGTATTGGCTTGTCGAGGCCAAGAGTTGTAGTCAAATTCAAGTGTTGGGGGGATCCAAAGTGACAAAGGGAAAGGAAACATTCAAAGGCACATGGAGTTCACCTCTTCTGTTTTCATTTGGGATGGGAATTCATTAGCCTAGATAGGACTACACTGATGTTTACTATTTCCTGCCCCAACTTTTTATGCCAGTGCCCTTTGTTTCAAATAGTTGCTTAAGGAGACAGTAAATTAAATGTGAAGGATTTACAGTTTCGTTACATGAATTAAACCATTTCCTGGTGTTTGTGTTTACCTTGGGACTCACAAAGAAGACAAAAATATAGACTCACAGGAGGAAGGAAAGGAATGATCAAATCCCAATAGTTTCTGCCTGAATGTCTAGCTCAGCAACTTTATTTAAGGGAGGAATTTTGTGCTGATAAGTGAATCTTTGTCTCTGTATAATTAACTTTTCCTCTCTGCATATGTTGCTACACCCACTGAGCTCTCCTAATAGACATATAACTATTAACTGTGCAGTGTTAATGTCTATTGGGCAAAACCAAAGTAAATCAAATGGCAGGATTGATAGTTTTCCTCAAGTAAAAATGGATGCTGCTTTATAATTTGAGACTTAAATTTAATAATTCAAAATGTTATTATAAAATAATACATGATCATTCTAGAAAATCTGACAAATATATAAAAAGGTAGATAAGAAAATAACAACAAAGCCACTACTCAAACATTTTAGTGTATTTTTTTCTATGCCATAGACGAATATATAGTTATACCTTTTATAGTTAATTTTTTTTTTATACCTTTTATAGTTAAGATCATGGGTATAATTTGTGATTTTCATATATCCCAACCCCCTCTCTTCATAAGTTCAAATCTCTCATAAAAATAAGAAAAGTAAGAGCCAGCACATATCCAGTATTAACTGTCTGCCAGGTACCATTCTAACCACTTTATATATATTCCTTCATGTAAACCTCATAATAGCCCTTTGAAGTAGATTTTGCAAATGAAGCACAGAGAGTAAAATGATTTGCCTGAGGTTTCACAACCAGTAAGGGGGAGAGCCAGGATTCCAACCCAGTTTGTAAAGTGTGAGCTCTGAACCCCCACCATCTGCTGATGCCCTCTGACTCAGCCTTTGTAACCGCCCTGTCCCCAAGCCTACCCTCACAGCCCTGCCCCTGGGTGATTGTCCTCTTCTCAGAATTCCTCTAATACTAGACAGTATGACGGGGCACATCCTTTCCCCACTGTGTGTGTGTGTGTGACAATCAGGCTGAGTCTCTGAAGAGCAGTTGCTGGCTACAGCCCTTGTGGGGCTGGGTGGGGGAGTAGGGGGAGTTCCAGCCCTGAGGGTGGTACAGGGGAAGGTCAGGAGATACTGGCCTCCAGGCCTGGCTCTGCTCACCTCACTTCACATATTTACACCTCTGTCTTATCTGTAAAAGGACAGAGTTGTTGGATAGCCCTTCATCCATTTTGTTAGGTCATTCATTCATTCACTGACTACAAGTCAGACTGAGATGCGTACAATCTGTCTCCTCTCCTGTAGGAATTCATCAGCCAGTTTGTAGCCAGAGAAGTAACCTGCCCGTTGAGTGTAGAGTGTGTGAAGTGTGGTTATTGGAGAATGTTGGGGATTTGGGGAGGGCCCCTAAGGTGGGCTGGGGCGGAGAAAGGGTATAAGGAAGGGGCTGGCCTAGCAAGGCTTCCCAGCGGACAAGGAGGAATTCTGTGTCTAGCGTGTGTCAAATGATTCCATCTTAAGCAGGCTACACCAATGTTACTTTTTTTTTTTTTTGAATTAAAACTACAGGAATTTATTGTCTCACATTCTAGAAACTAGAGGTTGAAATCAGCGTGTCAGTTGGACCATGCTACCTCTGAAACCTGTAGGGAGGGGGCTCCTTCTATGTCTCTTCCTACCTGTGGTGGTTGCTGGCAATCCTTGGCAGCCCCCAACTTGCACCTCATCACTCAGTCTCTCCCCGTGTATTCATGTGGCTTCTCCCCCCACCCTCCCCACGTCCGTCTCCTTGGGGCCATCTTCCTAAAAAGGCACCAGTCATACTAGAGTAGGAACCCACCCTACTTAACTGATAATTCCATAAGCAGTGACTCCATTTGACCCAAATGAGGTCACATTCTGAAGTACTGAGTCACATTCTGAAGTGAGGAACTTCCACATTTTGGTTTTGGGTTGGGGGGACACAGTTCAACCCACAACAACTTCATAGCCACCATCTAGTCCAGGCAACCACTGCCTACTTACTGCTGTGTGTCTCCATTCTCCATTCAGCGTCCAGAGCGAGCTTCCTTAAAGTACAGCAAGCAGGTGGGGGGAACTCGTTGGATCTTTCAGGTCCAGTTGGAGAGAGTTAACACCATACTTCTTTCCATCTGGTGTCTAAGGCTGAAGCCAAGGGCAGAAGATGGGAACACAGTGACTCCTGAAGAGATCATGAGATGTCAATGGGTCCCTGAGGGTGAGGGCATTGGAGGCTGTTCGAAGGTTCCTAAAGGATCTGATGCTCCTTCTGGTCCACAGAGGAACCACAGAGAAGTTGAACAGGTGGTTTGAATCCTTTTGGCCTCTGAGACTTGGCCAGATGCCATTCTTCTGAAGGGTGGTATCTTGGTGATTATTTAAAGCGTCTTCCAGCCCTCTCTGCATGCACTGGGACATACTGTGCTATTAGTAGATACCTAGCACATACTAAAGAAATCTAATCTGCCTAGGAAATCAATGCAGTCCTCAACACCGCTTGTCCGGGCTTTCCCCTGGCCCCGAGCAGCTCAGAGCTTCTCACTCATTATTAGTCTGCTGGGAAAGGTCTAGAAAACCTTTAAGTCAGGCTTCTGTCATTCAAATGCTAATCCTCTCTCCAAACTGACACCTCTGCATTACCTCTGTCTGCTCCAAGGTCAGCTGACCATGGCACCCAGGGCCCTTTGACTCCTTACAAAGGCTCTGGAGGGCGCTTCCTGAGGCATTTAGCATAGCTGTGGTAAGAAGTGTATGCAGAATATTCTTCTTTCTTTCTCCCTGTGCTTTTATGGCTTTTTGCAATAGTGACCTAAACCCACCCCACCCCCACCCACCCCACACATCACAATGGCATTTTAGGGCATCAGGGGCAATCTGACTCAAGGTCAAGACCTCTTTAAGGAATTTGGTTTATTACAGAAGCATTCTGTTTCTGGGCAAAAACAAAGAGGGCCAAATTCAGAGACAAGAATGTGAATTTATGGATTATATTAAGAGGGACTCGTGTCAGTGACCATCCCGCCTCACCCAGCTACGGTGTCTAGATGTTGTTGATACAACCATTCATATATATATATATACATATATATATATATTATGTATTTTTCATTTTCTTCTCATTCAGATACAGGTAGACCTTTCTTAGAGATGCACAGTGAAATACCCGAAATTATATATATGACTGAAGGAAGGGAGATCGTCATCCCCTGCCGGGTCACGTCACCTAACATCACTGTGACTTTAAAAAAGGTAAAACTGAGCAATGCTTCTCTCAGAAAATCTTTACTGCAAGTGAGCACAATGAATTTCAAGTCCTTTTATCTCTCTGGAATGATTTTCTCACACATTTGGGCTGCTCAGTGGACTTTTCTGGAATGTCCTTTTACTATAAAGGATAAGTGCTAGAAGCCATACCCAGGCATGTACTTAAATGAAATATCATGACAATGTGGTGGGCATAAATCTGTGTGAATATAATGAAAGAACGAAAATCATGCAAATGTTCATATATTGCCACAAATCCAAGTGTTTGCAAATGTGAGAAAAACCAATTCTGTTGCTTATACAAAGTAATAGCTTGGCAGAGAGTGGTTACTCTAGATTTTTGCTAAGGTCAGAACTGTGAGACAGGTGCGTGTGGACCCACCACCTTTAGTTTGGGTTGTGAAGTTCCTGGGAACAAAAAGCTTATGTCCTGCTGGGCAGCCAAACCTAGCTGCTTAGGGAAAGGGAAAAAAAGGGAGTGGGGGCAGGAAAGCTACACATGACATTTTTTTCTTCATATCAAGTTGTAAACCATGCATGTGGAGAAAGAAAAAGATTTGGGATGGAATCTAATAAAGATAAAAGCTAAAATGTCACATTCTAGCTAATTCATCGATGCTAAGAGTTTGGGAACAGACTAGGGTGAAGAGGTGGATAAGCACTCCCCAAATGGAAAATGGTGGTGAGTCCCGAGAGCTTTGAGCTTTAAGAGGAAAAGTTAAGCCTTTCTCAAGGCAGCACGAAGCACCACCATCACCCTGTAGGTACTCACGAAGTGTTTGGTGGTCGCAGTAGTCGAGTCTGAAAAGCTTGGAGGGATTTCCAGTATCACTAGAGTCCTGGAATATGATGGAGGTGTCTCCCAGTCTTCTTCCCTTGAATTCACTTTCCTACATTATTGATTTGATTTAAGCCCTCAGGATAGTCCATCGGTGACAGGTTTTAGCTTCCATTATATGTATGTGTCCCTGCCAGTAATTATAAAAGCATTGTATTCCAGAGCTGGAAGCATCAGAGGAGTTTAAACCAATGGGTGGAAGGAAAAACTGAGATTCTGGGGGAGTTGGGGACCTCCCAGACCACACTGGGCTTTGGAATCCGTATCTTGACCTCTCCTTCCATGCCCTTGCCACCTTGGTTAATGGTTTAGTTTGCACAGGAGAAAGACCAGAGTGGTTAAGAACAGAGCCCCGTGGCACGCTGCCTGGATTCTGATCACTCAACCACTTAACCTGCTGGACAAACTGGCAAAGTATCAAAACCCCCTCCACCTCAGTTTCCTCATTGGAGAGATGGGGTCGCACCCACCTCACATGGATGTTAGGAAGTAACTGAGGTGATACATAAAAAGCCCTTAGAACAGTTCCTTATACAAGCTGAGCGCCATTAAGGGTTAGCTGTTATTATTTATCTAACAGCTTAATACCCAATACTTGATTTATTATCAAGTGATATTTATTATCAAGCGTGGTATCCACTCCTCTTAGTCTGAGGTAATAATCACTGTGTGATGACCGTGGAACATACCACGGGACTGCCTTTTGGTTCTAGTGCAGATCATTTGTCTGTTGTAAGAAACAGTCCCACATTCCCCCATGTAAAAATATGAGGGGGGGGGAGCTTATTTTCTCTGTTTTTCTACCTAAGATCTATAACAGACATGAGAGAAAGAGAGAGAGGGGGGGAGAGAGAGGGAGAGAGAGAGGGAGGGAAGAGAGAAAAGCACACTGTTCTAATAGGGATTTGGGTTTGCCACATATATATGGAAACTATTCGAACCTATTATGTATGTATGTCGCCCTAAAGTTGTAAGATCTTTTCCACTTCTCCACTTCTCCTTTTGTCCCTTTTAACCTGCTGTCCCCTCCCTCTCCTTTCCCCCGCTAGTGTTGGCGGAGCCGTGTAAGCCGGAGACAGCCTCCCTGTCCAGTCCTTTCTCTCAGGGCTGCCCCTCTGCGTGCCTCTCTGTGACACTCGTAGGCACCACCACAGCTGATGAGCTACATGGGCTTCTGCTAGTTTAGCTCTCGGCAGCTCGGAACAAAGCTTCTTGGTCAGTAGAATCCTACTAGTGGCCATAAGGGCAGATTAGAGTAAGCGAAACTTCCTCTGAAACCTTAAAGGAAACTTTAGTGTATTTCTCAGTTGTGCTGAGGAAGTCCATCAGTGAACCTTTCTTTTAGATTCGGTACATGCTCGTGTTCACCTATGTTTAAAGCATCATAGGTCTCAGTCCCTGACTTAAATTTGTCTGAGCTTTCCCCTTAATAATTTGCACCAAATTAGAGGAGAAGGTTCTTTTCCTCCCACTGGAGATAAAGCCTTCCTAAGCCTGCAGATAGAATCATGATTTACTAGAACACTAAATGCATCCTTCACTTGCTTGCAAGTTCCTCATAAACAGGGTGCAGCTCATTTCAAAGCCGTGTGACACTCTGGTAACACAGACAAACGCAGACATGCTCACTGGGAGAGGGCGCTGGTGACGTTTCCCAGAGGAATTTCTGCCATGGAGTCACAAATCCCAGCCAGATTAGCTCCTTCAACAAGCAGTATAAATAAGTGATAAACAGATAAGCGATGCAAGGTGCACTTTTTCGAAGATGAAAAAGATCTGAAACATCTTCAGGGCAGTTTGCCCTTTCCTTTTTAATCTGTTGTGGGAAGGTAATCTGATTTTTTTCTTCCCCCCTTTTCCAGCACGGCATAAGTCATAGTGGTTGTCAGAGACGCCTCTGAAATTGGGCTGGCAATCTGGCATCAGGGGAATTTGGCTGGGTCAATCAGTGGAGCAATATCCCCTTTATAAAGCCTCATCCCAAGGCGGATTGTTTATATGGTAATCTTTAAAAATAAAATTCTTGGCGTCCAGCGGAAGGCATAAGGGAAAATCAAATCATGGATTCCTTTCTTCTGTTTGGACTCAATGTGTCTGGGAATACTTCTAAGAATGTGAGAGCACTTCACTCACAACAGCATCTCCGGCCTCCACATCTGTTTGCAGCTGTCTTCACTGTCCATTTCCCTGGAGTTTCCCCTCCCAGAGGCAGAGTCGAGGCCCTCAGCCTTCCCAGAATGATAACCCCAGCGAGCACCAAGTGAATGCTATGAATCTCAAAGGACTGGGACTTCCTTAGTCCTCTGAGGACAGCCACCTCTTTACTAAATCATGAAAAGTGGGAGGACAAGTTATGGCTTGTTAAAAGCTCCAGATGATGAGGCCCAGGAGGGTAACCTGGCGGCCCCAGTGGAAAAAGTCCTAGTTGGTTTCTCTGTGGAGTCTCAGGCCAGTCCGTTACAAGGATGATTCCCAGAGGCCAAGCGATACGGGCTCCCAGTGCAAGTCTGACATGACAGCTAGGTCTATCCCGGGTGGGTGCAGCTTGTTGCCGAGACTGATAACGAATTATCGTAATTACTGTAGTTTATCATCATAATGTATATCTTGCTCCACGCGAAGAAAACTAAAGAGCCCATGATGACAAACTAAAGTTTTTACCTGGACCATTTTCATTTTCAATGAAAACTGTGTTTCCACAAATTACGAGGGAAAGAGTATTGCCACGGTGCTAGTACGATTTTCTTAAAACATCTTTTTTTTTTTTTCCTTTTCAGTTTCCCCTTGATACCCTGATCCCGGATGGAAAACGAATAACCTGGGACAGTAGGAAGGGTTTTATAATAGCGAATGCAACATACAGAGAAATAGGGCTTCTGACCTGTGAAACAACAGTCAACGGGCATTTGTACAAGACCAACTATCTCACCTATCGACAAAGTAAGTGATGTTCCAAAGGCATGAGCGCAGGCGAAAACACCAAAATGCAGGGAAACCTTGATTTAAAAAAAAAAAAAAATCTCATTTCTTCTGCTTGCAGCCAATACCATCCAAGACGTCCAGATAAGCACTCCAAGCCCAGTCAAGTTGCTTCGAGGACGCACTCTTACCCTCAACTGCACTGCTACCACTGATTTGAACACGAGGGTTCAGATGACCTGGAGTTACCCTGGTGAAGTGAGTGACATTTTTCTCTGGCTTCTGGAGGGCAGTATTGCTTTCTGGCAAGTGACATGCCACTGGGTTTTTGAGGTGGGGCAAAATCAGCATCTTCTGACTCACGTGGCAGTTCCGAGTGAACAAGGAAGCTGTGGGTGTGTTTCGGGGCTTCCCTCGTCTGATGTTCCGTGAGTGTGTGTGCATAGATACAGTCTTTTGATGTCTGGAGGTTTTGTTTTGAAGTATATAGGCTGGTATTTCTGTTGCATGATTCCGGGTGGAAAAGGGGATTGTTTCATCCTTGGAAACTGTTCTCTGGGATTTAGAGATGAGAGGGAAATTTATCACTCAATGCCAGGCAGGGCCTAACTGTGGTAAGAACAACAGCAAAAAGCTGTTGTCAGCGCGTTAATTTCAGATACCCGCAGACAGCGAGGCACCTGATTGGAGCATGTTTGGAAAAGATATTCCAAGCCAGCCGGCCAGTATCCCCTTTGTTCAGTGACAAAGGAGCAATGCTGTCCTTCAGAAAAATGAGAAGAATGAAGACTGGGTCGGGGCTCCTTATTCAGACCAAACGTCCCTGCAAACAAACAGTCATCGTTTGCAGGCGTGTAGATGGGGAATCGATGATCAGCTGTCGTCCCTGCGGCCCCCATTGGCTGGGTGGCAGTATGACGGATGGGGCATATCCCAGGCCCAGTCGTGCGTTCGGTCATTCAGATTGCGCAATCACAAAGGTTACCGATGATTAAATTTTATGCTAAGATTAATGCGTCAGCCCCAAGCTACTGTTATTTCTCATCAACATTTATTGCCATGGAAATAGAGTAACTTGGCAACAAAAAGATGCAACAAGTGCCCTGTAGGAAGGACTCGTCAGTCCTATTTTCTAGAAAGTGATATTGTTTCATTTAAATAACAATGCTATGACTTGCAGCAATTGTTTCTGGGTTTTGATAGAAGTCAGATATTCTCAGTAAACACCAGGAGGGAACAAACTCTTATCCTGTTGGTGGCTGTACGACAAGATATGATAAAACATCTACTGACCGCCAGTTACCTTCGAAAATGGCGTTGTCCAATAGAACTTCGTGTGATTGAAATACCTTTTCTGACTAATACAGTAACCACTAGCCACAGGTGGCTAATGAGGGCCTGGAATGTGGTTCCTGTGACTAAGGAACCGAATTTCTTATTTTAATTTTAACAGCCCACATGTGGCTGGTGGCTACAGTGCCAGACAAAACAGTTATCTGAAACCCGGGATCAGCTGTTTTCCAAAGGCAGAAACAGCACCAATGTTACTCAAATTTGGGAAGGGAAGAGTTCTCCAAGGGAGAAGACAGAAGTAATACCTACAGAGAGTGGCTGAAAATCCCTCAGGCTGGCATTTAAGGGACTGCTGCTCTGATTTTTTTTTTTTTTTTAAAGATTT